TTCATCAACTAGATCTATGAATTCGATTTTTTGATTCGATCTATGGATCCTTCGTGTTTGGGTTCCTCGCGTCACTTCCTCTCATGCCACTTCCTCTTCGGTTTCGATCGAGACGAAGGTGTGAGATTTTTTCTTGTGGTTTTTTAGGACCGTTGCGACGTCTAGGCTTGTTTTCCTTGCGAAATGGCTCATCGTAGAAGGCTTTTTGCAGGTAGGGACCTTTCTTATCTTGGTTTAGAACCTCCGGTGATCTTAACTGATCCGGAGGTGGTGGTACGAATTTTCACCGAGATCGGGCATAGGGAGGAGGAGCTGTTCGACCTTTACGAACTAGAACACGTTCCTGCCGTTCTCGCGTGTCTTACCCACCTAAGCAGGGCTGGTAGTCAGTGGGTCCTTTACGGGTTGGAGGCCTTAGTCGAGGAGTCTTGGGTTGGTCCCGCTCCTCGACCGTGGAGGACTTGGTTGCTCGCAAGTCCCCACAGCGAGCTATTATCGGAGGCAATGCGAGGCGACGAGGGTGAGATTGCGGTCCGCCTTGTATTGCTTCTGCATCGTTTGTTGTGGGAAGAAGATATTTCCCTGGCCGAATTTTTGCGTCGGGGGTGGTTTGAGGATTTTGTCTACGTAGCTGGGCGGGAAATGACCATCCACTACTTCAATGACGGATCCATCGACCGCCAACGATGTACAATTTTGGGCAGGGTAACTCTTTTTGTCCAACGGAATCCCTTCGAAGTTCCAGAGGGGATCATTGACTCCTTCTTTGAAACCGTCAGTCGTCGGGGTCACGTTTTTCATTCAACCTTCGAATTACGCGATCAGTTGAATAGGTTGAGCTTGGAGCTTCTTCGGCATCCGTCTGGAGAAGCTGCAGCTCGCCGATATGGCCTTTTGTAAGTACGGAAGGTTATAGAGCAAGTCGGGCAACTTCCAGTCTTCGAGGGGGGCTGGGAATCCGTCAAGTTTTCTTACGCTACTTTTGTCAGTATATCAATTGCTGGTAATATTCGTTGACAACTTACAGCCTTCGGGCACAGTGTAGCTTTGTCTTGAATTGTTAAACAATTTTCTTTTATGTGTTTCA